TTGACCCGTGAACCATGGTTCACGGGTGAATTCTTCTTTTAATTACTACTACCGGTGTTCTTAGCTAGCTAGCTAAGGTCGATATAAATATATTAATAATAATAAAAAAACTAAAGATATCGATAAAAAAGAATTCAATTAATTATTACAATCAATTGTAAACAAGTAAATACAAAAACTTAATGATACAAAAAAAGCAATTCAGTAAATAAAATCAAAGTCGCTAATTATAAAACCCAGCAAGAGCGATACTCTTTGCAATTAAACGCTTGATTCTAAAAGAAGCTTCTTTCTTTTTATCTTATACTAATCCCGCTTCATCATCTTCTTTTTCTTCTATTCGTTTGCGCTTTAAAGTTGATGATAGATTTGTAATTCGTTCGCTTATAAAAGTATTAGATTTAAGATCGTTAAACTTATATATAATAATTGACTTACTTTGACTTTGAATAACGATTAAAAGAGTAGTTTTAAGTTTCGAAATACTAGGTTTCGGGGTTTGAGCGGCATTTAAGGTTCTATAAGATAGCGAAGCCGAGTCCGGTATTCTATCAGCTTCCTTTTTACCTATTATCCCTTTATCACCTTGCTCAAGGCTTGATATTTCTTTCGCGTCAAAATAATTTTATTAAGAAATATCATTCGAATCGTTTTGATCGCATAAATTTGCTATCGTTAATATTTAAGTTAGAATTTATATATAAATAAAAGCGTATATTATATAATATCGTACCTCGTTGCACTTTATTTTTGTAGTTTATATAGCGTTCAAAGCTAATCGATTCGTTCGTACCGTTCGAATCTGAATTTTCTAAATCGTTTTCGTTTTCTATATCATTAAGAACGTTCCAATCTGTATCATCTTGAGTTTGCTTATCGAAAGGTAAATCCGTAATTACTTTCGATTGATTTACTTTGCTTGGTTTTCTTTGTAAAGAATATAATCGATTTGCTACGACTTTGCTTTGAGAAGCGGAAGAATGCGCTTTGTATAATCCTATATGATAGTTAGTAAATCGATTAGTAAATCGATTAGTAAATCGATTAGTAAATCGATAAAAAGTAAAAATATCGCAAGTAAATTAACTTACTTTTTGAATGCCCTTCGTAATTTAAAGACTTTCCGTACCGTGGCTATCGCATTTTAAACGAAACATCTTTATCAATATCTTGAAACCCATCTAAGTTCTTTCCTATTCAATAAAATTAATAAATATTTATAAAATCAATATTATTTAAACTTACGTGATTCTCGCACTTCAGCTTTCAACATTATCAACTTAACCTCTCGTTGCTTAAAACTTATTGTTCGAAGGTCTTGATCGATCGCAAGATTATCGCAAGCAAAGATATATTCAAAACAAAATAAGCTTTGAAATTAACGATTTTGCCATTTTTAAAATTTTTATACTTCCTATTCGAATTCCTCTTCAAGCTGATCCTTATCTAAATCATTGTAATTTACTAAAATCGATTCGAATAAGTGCCGAGCTTTATCTAAGCGAGTATTACACATCTTGAAATATAAAGCAGTTATTTCTTTTGCGATTATTAATAGCGATAAATTACCGCGACGATAATCGCAAATATCTCTTGCAATATTAAATACCCTTTCTACGCAAACACTAGTTAAAGAGATGCATAGAAAATCTCTAGCTATTCGAGCTAGATCAAGGTACCGAGGCTCAAGGTTTCGCTAAAAAGTCAAAATCTCTCGTCCGTCGACCGCTAAACTCAATTAATAAAAATCAATAAAATTAAGGTTTTGAATTAAAATTTCAAACTTACGAGCTGAAAGATAATCATGCACTTCCGACGACTCGTGATCTATATCTTCGAAAAAAGCTTATTAAAAAGAACTTAATATTAATCTGCCGCGGAGTAATAAAGCGGCCATCGGTTGACGATCGATTGCTTTGATATTATCAATACGTTAAGCTATAGATATCGAAGACTTATAATGTTCGTTAAAAAGCCTTTCGAATCTCGCTCGATATATTGCAGACTAATCTTTACCTTCGTAAAGCCAAGAAAAATTTAAGTCGAAAGTCCTTAGCTTAGTAGCAAGATATAAGATTATCGCGAAAGCAAAAATATCCTTTAGCGGCCTTTGCGTTTTCTTATAATACTTATCTAATTTCTCGATAGCATTGATGACGCCTTCTTCTAATTGCAAGATCCATTCAAAATCATTGCGATCTTCTTCCGAAATCTTTATATATTTAAACTTTAATCGTGCTTGTGCTTCATTTAAACGTTCGAATATTTCATCGAACATTAAAAATCCGTATTAAATAATAAGACTAAGCTCTTCACTTAAGTGCATAGTTAAAAAGTGAAACGGTCGAAAGATATCGATTAGCTATAAGATTTGCTTCTATTAAGTATCAAATAATTTGAAAATACTCATCTCATCGATCTTTATACAATATCTTTAAATAACATCTTTAAGAGTTATAAATCGATTAAGCATATAAAATATAAAATCCTATCTTATAACAACATCTAAAACAAGCTCTAAGCTTTTCGTTAAAAGATGCTTTAAATCGTCGATAAAAGCTTTCATCGTTTTATTAAATCGCGATTTTCGAGGTTAGCTAGCCGTAACACACTTAACAAACTTCCGAACTTAAGTACGTTGATCAATGATTAGTAAATATAATTAATAAATATTTTTTTTAAAAAAAAAAACTTACAATCGCAAATATATATGCAATCTTTCGTTTATCGCGTCTTCTTGCTCCTTCTAGCTCGTTTATATCAAAATCTTCTTCTTAATGCTTTTCTAAGCTTTCGTTCGTTAGCGATAATCGCGGTCCGAGCAACGCTTTAAAAGATAATTGCAAAACGTAAGCTATACACGGAACGTATAAAATCTCTTAGCTTATAAAAAGCTTTTTCTCAAATGCATCTTCGACGCATTTAAGCAACTCTTTTATCATTATGTTATTCGAAGATGCGTTATCCGTTATAATCGCGATTATCCTTTCTATTAAGCTTAATTTAATAAAGCGTTCGTGAATAATTCTTACTAATTCTTCTCTTGTATAATTGAACTCAACGTATATAAATCTAAGTATAAGCTGAATCTGTTGGAACTAGCATTCAGCTTGGTTGACTACATTCAAATGAGTCAACTCAGTCAAACAAGTCAAGTCACGTGGATACCCGTTTGTACCTTCCGTTTGCATCGGTAGCTATAAGAAGCTACCACCTTACGTACTTAGGAATACATGCAATACCAACTGAACACACTCACACCTTGAATACGTATTCAACCTTGCATTACACCTGTGATACCAACACTGATCAGTGGTTTACTTCACAAACCACAGACAGCAAGGTAACTCTCAGAAGAGGCAACTACTTAGGTAAAGAGGACGATTTTCCTAACACGAGGATCGCCCTGCTCCTTAGAGTACTCTTGCGCTAAGAAAAGAACCTGATCTCCTTGTTTTCGTCACGAACTTACGAGCTCAAGAGCGATACTCGTTCAATTGCGTCCATCACGCAAATTCACTCACTCACTCACTCTTACGAAAAACCCACCACCTCCTTACCACACCCTTCTTACGATACCTTCTTACGATATCCCTTCTACAACATGTCACCTATTCCCGACCACATGGGCTTTAGAGTCGACGAGGAAGCCTGGGAGAGGAAATTCGATCCTGCAAACACAGAAAATACTACGGAGATCGTAAACGGTTACATCCTCTTGATGCTTACCGGTTACGAAAACGTCTATCGGTACTCTGGAACCAATTTGAGAGAGTTGTTCCAGGAAGATTTCGAAGGCTGGACACAAGACACTTTTGCACTGGCTACGAGGATATGCTGCAGAAACCTTTGGCGCCATCTGCTCTTAAATGGCGTGCCAATCAAGCCTGTCAGTACTGGTGTACCTTACAAGAAGGTATTCATAGATGTCCTTTCGGACGACAAACCCCTCGAATGGACCTCAGAATCGCAGAAGGTTCTAGAGAACTTGAATAAAAAGATGGAATCCGAGAGAGGAGCTGTACCTGCTCCTCCTCCCCCTCCTCTAGACCAGCAACCTCCGCCTCCTCCTCCCCCTCCTCCTCCTTCGGACCACACTCAATTGCAACAAACACCATGGACTCAGTTCCTTACCTTACACCAATTCGGTTGGAACCCTCTCAACCCTTTCAACCCCTTCGGTAGTGGCCCACCACCTCCCCCCCCTCCCCCAGGAGGAAGCGGCGGTGGCGGTGGCGGTAGCGGTGGTACTGGTCCTCCCCCTCTTCCTCCCCTTCCTTAGGCCAATACGGGCGCTTTCAGCAAACCCTTGAGTGACCTACTCAAAATCTACGTGGACAAAGATAAAAAGTTTGGTGGAAGCGACTACGACGTTCTTGAGGACAAATTACTGATATTCTACAATCACTGTAAGATGGTTGGTCTCCCTCAAGAGCCCTCAGCTTACGCTGAGGCCCTCTCTATCATGCTTAAAGACCAAGCAAATACCTATTTTTACACTTCCCTATACAACAGAAGTTTGGGATTTGGAGAGATGGTTAATCTCTTGAAGATGAAGTTCGAGATTGAGGAGAGCACTCAGAAATACTTGTCTGAATGGAGAGAGACCACCTTTGAGAGGACTGCTGCTCAGCACCCTGAGAAGACCAAATTGGAGGCCTTGGACGTCATGATCAACAAATTAACCCTTTTACAACGCAACCTACCTCTTACATACCACGACAACAAATCAATCAGAGATGCCCTCCTTAGCGCTGTGAGAGGGGTCCCCGAATGCGCTTTGGCACTTTATAAACCTGCTCCCACCTTCGAAGCCTTTACCTCAGAGCTAAAATCAGCAGTTGCAACCGCTCTAAGGCAAGCAAGTGCACCAACATCAAGTTTTTACACCCATGAACTATAGTTCACGGGTGAGGAAGACGAGATCAATGATTCTTTATATACCGACCGGACCTACGGAGGTAACCGCGCTGGCAGAGGCTATCGCAATAGAAGAGGTGCTAGGAGAGGCTCATATAGAGGCTTTCAAGGTGGTGGACCTTCCGAGAGAAGCCAATTCAATAGCGGTTTCCAGAATGGCAGAGGTTCATATGGAGCAGGTGGAGCAAGTGGAGGTGGTGACATTACCGACAAAGTTTGTTACGTTTGCGGAAAACCCTTTTGTTGGTCTACAAAGCACACGAAGGAAGAACGCAAAATCGCCTTCGATAAGTTCAAGCGTCAAGCATACTATATGCCTGAATACGAGGCTACAAAGGAATCCTATTGCGTTTTTCTAGTTCATTGGGAAGGAGTAGAAAACTTCGAAAATGAGTCGGAGCAAGAGCCAGAGCATTTGCTACTTGAGAATTAGCAACTAGCGCTCGGGATACCACCATCTCTCGAGCACTCTATTGATATTTTCCACACTTCAATTAGGAAGATCAATAGAGGCGAGGTAGCAGCCAAATTGACTAACCTGTCAACTTACTACGCTTTCACAAAATCGGACCTATACGCACCGATTCCCCACGTTCCACCTTCGGAGTGCTTGCTTAACGAACGCTACGATTCAGAGGTATTTCACGGAATTATCCTTGATACAGGCGCCGCCTTTGTTTCCTCGGCAGGCGAAAAGCAAGTGGAAGCCTTAAAGAAATTACTCCTCGACCTCAAGATCAATACCCCGACCACTACCAGAAGCATTCGTTTCGGAAAAGAAGAACCAATAGTGATCAAGGCTATAGTCGATGTTAATACACCCTTGGGCTTGATTACTTTTAGCATCGTTCCAGCTAATACACCTTTCTTGCTATGCTTGCAAGATATGGACCGCTTAAGTGTCATTTTTGACAACGTCTCAAATAGGTTGATCCAAAGCAACAAATCAATCCTCGTGATCAGGAAATTAGGCTACGCCTTTTTGCAAATCCAAGCTACGGAAACCGAGCTCTTTGAGTCCTACTTGTCAGAGCAAGAGCTACGCCAAATTCACCGCCGCTTAGGTCACCCAGCTGCTCGCCGATTAATCGATATATTAGAGCTCTCAGGGAACGACGGGGAAGCTGATTCGGCAATTATCAAACGCCTCACTAAATATTGCCACTATTGCCAACTGCACGCAAAATCACTTGGCCTTTTCAAATTCACAGTTAAGGACGACCACAATTTTAACTACGCTATATACGTGGATGTGGTTTATCTAAATAGCAAGCCAGTGCTATATATAGTCGATAGTGCTACAGCTTACAACGCTGGAGCGTTCTTAAAGGACATGTCAGCACGTACCGCGTAGGACACGTTGCGCGCTTGTTGGATTGATACATACTTGGGTCCCCTCGACATCGTTATCCATGACCTAGGAACGAACTTCGCTGCCTTGGAATTCAAATTGCTAGCAAAATCAATGGCAGTTGAGGTAAAAGAAGAACCAGTAGAAGCCCATAACAGTGTCGGCAAAGTGGAACGGTACTATGCTATGTTGCGCCGAATCTACGACATCTTAGTTGAAAAACTGAGAGGGGAGAGTGTCACGAAGGAACAGCTGTTGCAAATGGCTTTTAAAGCAATCAACGATACAGCTGGACCTGAAGGCTTCGTACCTACCCTTTTAGTATTTGGAGCCTACCCTCGTCTCACAGAGCTGGACCCACCTTCACCCTCTATTCAGAAGCGAGGGGAGGCTATTAATAAAGCTATGACTGAATTGAGAGCAATACAAGCAACCAGGAAAGTCAAAGACGCCTTAGCAGCCAGGAATGGACCTGATACTACGTCAATTTTGGACCTTCCTATTCAGTCAAAGGTTCGTGTATGGCGGGAGCACCCCCTTGAGGGTGGCAGACCACGCTGGACTGGCCCTTGGAAGCTCATTGCTATAGACCGTCACACTTGCACGGTACAATTGCTTAGTGGACCTACAAATTTTCGATCTACGGCAATCAAACCTTACTACCGAGAGCAAGAACAAGAGCAAGAGGACCAAAATCCAATCTAAGCCGAGGTTCCTCCGGCCCACATTCCCCCGCCTATTGAGGCAGTTCCAATAGTTCCACCTCCGCTAATCCTACCACCTAGAAGAGGTTCTAGGATTCGGCGCCCTCCTCGGCAATTTTATATGGAAGAGGAGGGGTTTGAAGAAAGATTTGAGGCATTCTGGCAGCAAAAAGAAGCTATAAAACAGGAAGCACAGGCAGAGGCTTTCTTGACTAGGAAGGAACTGTCTGACAAGGCAACAGCTGTCAAATTGCGCCAAGAAGGAAAGATCACGACACCTGGCGAGCCATTCCAACAATCACAGCGACTAGAGCTAGAGGGATTAATGGCAAGGGAGGTGTTCCAACTGGTACAATTCGACCTTACGAAGCACGGCAATACTAGGATCCATCCTAATTATTCAACACGAAATTTTCAACTTGCTTACAACGACTTGATTTTCATTGCATTCGATTCCTGGAATACGGTTTCCTTAAGAATCCGCTGGAACCAGATCAATAGCTCGTTGCGCTCGCCGCACAGTTCGAGAAATAGTTCTCGTCACTCTATCTCGGTCCTTCGCGGATAACAACAACATTAACAACGCCGATTATACACGGCCTTAAGACGCTGCATCGCCGTCCAACCTTACCTAGCACTTTAAGAAGAAAAGAAAGAACGCTGTTATTAATTTGCAGCCTTCTCTTTTCGTATTAAGACGAAGAGCACCGACTACCAATATAGCGACGAAGGCTATCGAGAGCTACTTCGACGACATCGACCGCGCGGCTGCTATCAAACGACGTGTCTAGCAACAATACGCTTCCGCTTCGGATTAGATTGTAGACGACCAACTTGACTTCGAATCTCGATACTATGCGCAAGAGTTTTCTAAGAGTCTCTTTACGTTTATGCGTACTCATTCACACGCAACTATCGGGGCAGCTACTCCTTTTCCTCCTTCGACCGCTCCTTATAGCAGCGAGCAAACGGCCCCTTCTAAGTCTGTCTTATGGGCAGATTCCGCAAGGCCCTCGAAGACCTTGAAAAACTCAAGGGCTGCCGCTTAGTCGGCAATCGCCAAGCTGTCCCGATCCTCTTTCGTTATAAGAATAAGACCTGCAGGGACCCGCAAGCCTACGAGCTCTTAGGCTATTCGCAAGTCTTTTAGCGAACAACCCAAGACACGCTAAGACAAGCGAGTCTTGATTCAGGTACTTTCCGCCGCACTTTTAGCTCGTCCCGACAGCTACGCCGCTCGCAAGGCTATTGCCGACAAACTGGACGGCGTCGATATAATTACTATCCTTCGTCTTAAGGCTACTCGCACGGGTTAAGCACTCACCCCGATCAACCTTAAAGCGAAGGACCTCCTTATCACAGACGAAGCTAAAAAGGTGTACTAAGAGGTTTTTGGGGCCACGGGAGCGATTATTCCGGTCAAATGGTATACGTACGCTGTCTAGAGGGTCCTTGCCGAAATCAGAGGCCTTTTCGGTGAGATTTTCAAGACGGCGGAGCATATCGACGAGGAGATCTTGGCCTAAGCCGAGAGAGCTCCGGTGAGCGTCCGCATCTTTTAGCACGGAGCCGACCCGGCGACCGGCTTGACTTGCTGGATAGTCTCTTTCTTAAAAGAGGTCCGCAGCTTTAAGTTGTTCGGCTGCAGCAGCTACTCTCGGTTGGTCGATAAGAAGCAACTTATTAAGAAGCACGACCTTGGCTGCTTCGGCTGGTGTAACTCGGCCAAGTGCACTCGGTACGCACGCTGCTCTTACTACGGCGAGCGAAGAGACTAGCACGACGGGCCCGACGGCAAAGACTGCACGGCACTCCTTCGCTGTGCAAACTGCCACGGCTCGTACGAAGCCAGTCATAAGAACTGCTTTGCGGCTCTTAAGCGAGTCAACGGCAAGGTGATCACTCTTATCAAGAAGGAGCTGGGCGCCGTCCGACGACTAAGAGCTTAGGCTTACGCTATTGCTACTGCTTTTGTGACGGAAGAGAACGAACCGACCCCGGCTTCTTAACTAGAGACTCTTGCTACCGGTGTTAACGCGGCTCCCTTTCGAAAAAGACGCGCTTTTGCGGTGCAAGAGCACGAGCGAGCGACCTCTTCCTAGGCCGTCTTTTTATAATCCTCTTTTTAGTCTTTTACGCAAGCTACGAGACCTTTGCGCAGTACGGCTACGCGCAAGAACCTTAACGAAAAGACTCTGATAGACAGCGCTTTTTCTGCTATAGACGAAGGAAAGGACACGCTAATAGCGACATCGGACTATTACGTGGACAATACTACTAGCTCATCTTCTTCGTTTGTAAGAAGCTCGAGTATTGCTGCTAGCTAAAATGCTTAAAACAACTCTACATGTTAAGCACGCCGATACGGCACCGCGGCACTCGCCGCAATCGACAGCCCTTTAAAGAAATCCAAGTCTGTTAGGCGAACGTAGGCAAGGGGCAGCTACACCACATTGCTTTACTCTACCTTTGCTATTCGGCAAACATTAACGTTATCTGTGTCTAAGAGCCGTACACGCACTTGGGCATCAAAACTTAAAACTATCCGTCTTACGAATGCTATGCTCCGATAGAATCGTAAGATAGTTAAGACGATGCTTAGTACTTCGCTAAGCGACTACGAGTGATGACTTACGTGCGTAAAGGCGTAGGTCTTCGTACTTAGCAACGCTGTTCTATTCGCAATAAGGATCTTTTGTAGGTCGATGTGAACGGCTTCGCTACTTTAAACGTCTATTAACAACCTTTAATAGACCCGATTATAGACTACATTACCCACCTCGTCCTTCCTTTTAAGTGCTTGATTGGAAGGGACTTTAATATGTAGCACGACATGTTCGAACTAAGGGTTGAGCCTAAAGGCCGAAGAAGAGACCTTGCGGCTTGGTCTAATGCTAGTAAGATGGATTATATTAGACTCCCGGGCGATCCTACCTATAAAGCTGGTCACGTTTTAGACTTGACCTTTTTAAATATCCCGTTTGCTTAAACGACAATTCGCCTCGATCTTTATTCGAGCTTAAACTACGAGACTTAAGTCACGACTATCTTTAGCCGAAGAGTCGTTCTTTTAAAGCGCTTCTAATACCGGGTACCGGACCAGGACCTCGAGAAATTCGCTTCGCTTGTGGCGCTAGGCGTAAACTAACTCTTCGACTTGTAGACGATACATTTTATCGAGGAACTCGATTAGCTTGCGATCAGCTTAGCTATTGCTTTCAATTCTGCTTTAAAAGTTGCGGGACAGCCCGCCCAAGAAGGGCTGACGGCTGCATTATAATGGACGGCAAACTGTTAGACAGCGTACAAGAAACACTTAGCAGCGCGTTCCGTAATATACGACGGAGAACCGACCTAAGAAACGCGAGACTAGCTCGCTACAGTCAAGAAAGCTAAAAAGGCTTATTGGACTTACGTGATCGACGGAATGAAATCGGACCAAGACTTGTACAAGGTCATGAGCTAGCACAAGCTTATTCCGAACCTGAAATCGCTTTCTTTAATAATCAACGACGAAGCTATCGAAAATATTAAAGAGAAAGCGGACGCGCTGCGAGAAAGCATCCTTAAACGGTTTAGCGCCGCCGACGACCTCGATTACGATCCACTCGCTAGCTAGGAAGGCATTGGCCGGCTCTTTTAGGATACTACGGTGTTATTAAAAGAAGTAGAGTCTTACGTGATCGAGGTGACAAGCACTTTACTCGAGACGGATAAGATCACCGTACGACTGCTTAAAGCATGCTAGCAACACGTCTATCACTTTTTCTATAGCTTCTTTAACAAGTGCTTAACTCTTCACTATTTCTCGGATGCGTAGAAGCTCGCCGAGGTTTCGATGATCTTTAAGGTAAAGAAAAGGAACAAGACCTTTATCCGCTTTTAGCGACCGATTGCTCTGCTCTCGTGTATTTCTAAAGGACTAGAGCGCATCGTTGCGAAGAGAATTGCGTAGACTGCCTTTACTAACGACGTCTTTAGCTTACAACACGCGAGAGCCTTCTTACGGCGCTTTGCATTGGACCTCGCTTCGTGCTTAACATACGACATCGAGTCCGCATTTGCAGCTAGATATTAAGTCACTATAGTTATTATGGACGTCTAAGGAGCCTTCGATGCGATCTTGACCCGTCGCCTTTTTAAACGCATGACGGAGCAAGGCTAGCCGTACTTACTGCTCAAGCTAGTAGAATCCTTTCTTTTAGACCGCAAGGTTAAAGTCCGATTAGAGAAAGAAATCACGGACACTTACGACGTAAAGTGCGGCACTCCGCAAAGATCCTCGCTATCACCGGTGCTTTACATGCTCTACTTGGCTGAGCTACTTAACTAAGACCGGACATTGCGCTTCGAGTACGCTAACGATATTTGCTTGTATCGCGTTAATCGCACTTTCGACCGGAACATCGCTATGCTTCGAGACGATATCAATTCTATTATTAAGTGAAGTAATACTTATAAGATCGCCTTCGCTCCGGAGAAGATCGAGATGATACACTTCTTTCGCAAGAAAGGCACGTATGCCTTTTTTTTCGTGGTCGATATTATAACCATTCCGTGTATCATTACGGGTCCGAGGGACGAGGATACACTTGCGATACGATAGCTTAAAGTCTAGTTTGACCGCAAGCTAAAGTTCCGCCGACACGTCCGAGAACGGGCGGCTAAGGCTAAGAAAGTCGCTTAGCACATCCGCAGTCTCGCTAAGATAGTCTACGGTCTTTCTGCGGCTTTATTGCGCAAAGCAGTTACTACTTGCGTGCTGCCTTCGGTGCTTTACGGCACGGAGGCGTAGTACGCAAGGCGCTATCGCTTAATCTGCAAGTCCGGAAGACCAAAAGTTGTTAGCGCTCGGGTCGGAAGGATAGTTGACCTTATTAATAAGACGATAACCTTCGCGGCGCGCGAGGTACTCCCGGTCTAGAGAACGACACTAACGGCAACGCTCTTTCGAGATGCCGGGCTCTTTTCCGGCATTACGGCCTTGGAAGAAGCTAAAGCTAGGTTTGCAATAAGATTAAAGACGGTGGACGACAAGCATTTACTAGTCAGCCGGATACTTTTGCGGATCCGACAACGCGGTCGCAGCGCAAAGACTATTAAGATCTCCGAGACTAAGATCTAAAGATTAAGAACTCTCTTTTTAGACGTTCTTCGCCTTCGCTTCGTCTTTCCGCATTTTATATCGGGGAGCAGACGGGACCTGGCGGACGGCAAAACGAAGAAAGAAGCTGCTGCCGCATTCGAAGCATAGTAGCAACAGCTCTCGTTAAAAGACATTACGATCTTTTCAAACGGGTCAGAACAGTACGACCAAGGCAACCGACTAGTAAGCTACGGGTACGTAGTCTATCGAGGACGATAAGAGACAAGCTACGGGTACGGCTTTATCAACGATTGCTCTTACGTCTTTGACGCAAAGGCGATAAGGGCATAGAAAGGCCTCGAACGAGTGGTGCACGCTTATCCGACGGCGAGACGGATCTGGCTTTGCATCGATAGCATATCAGTCATCTAGTGTCTTCGCGGAAATGCTTCTTTATCATCGCAATAAGCGTTCTTGAACGTCTAAGGGGTAATAAAGACTCGAGACGTGCGAATACGATAGTCCTTAAAGCATATAAGTATTAAAGGGAACGAACGGGCGGACAAGCTTGCAGACTTAAAGGCAAGGAAACCGGACTAGGACACTGGTTTAGCATCGCAACTTACGATTAGCGGCATCCGCATACTCTTCCGCGATATACGAGATAGAGCACGAGAAGCTTGGTAGAGCGCAAGCTTTCTTAAGCTTTTACGCTCGTATCGGAAATAAGGCTTTTTATATTTAGTCAAGCCTTTCTCGGAGCTAAAACTCTTACGATATGTCTTATACAAACTACTTGCGATCCGAACTACGTATAAAGACTTTACTTGGTACTATACTAGGTTCTAACACTACGACGCTAACTTAAGGTGTGCTTGCGGCAAACGCAAGTCCTTTTTGCACATAGCTTTTTGCCGATTCACGCAACGACGCTTCTTTTCTTAGCCTTATAAGACTCGATCGCGGACCTCTCCGAGCACGATCCCGGAAGCTTACGACTTCTTTAAGGGTCTTTTTAACAATCCGGCCGATTTTCAAGCCTTCTTGACTACTACGGAGTTCTATTCTAAGCACTGCACCCGATAAGAGTGTTACTTTGGCCAACTGATACTACTTCGATAAAGAGAACGGGGTACGCTCCGCTTTACTTAAGCTGTAAAAGCTCGTTAGATTAACCGCGTCACGGGACTAAGACTTTAAGATAGCGTAGTGCGCTTTCGAAGGAATTCTTTTTAGCACTAGTATATTATATTGGGTTTTCTTTTAGAGTTTAGGCTTTCGTATTCACCTTTTCTTTTGTACTCGGCTGACCTCGGTCCGGCTTTGATTTTTGTCGCTACGCGACGTGAACAGCTCGTCTTTAGCTAGCTACAGCAGTTTGTACATGCTTGACTCTTTCTTTTGTAGTTTTCCTTTGATGAAAGGTTTCTTTTTATGTGATCCATCTTATCTATAAAGGAAGGGCGCATGCGACAGTAGCTTTCGCTACAATACTTTGAATTGCTTTCTGGGGCCTTTTTGTATGTAACTCCTTAGCTTAGCACGTCGCCGTACCTTATGGGAGGTCCCAGGGCGGCAGGCTTCGCCTGCTACCCGCCCGACGTAAATAAATACAACAACAACAACAACAGCAATACTAGGATCTTCAACTCGAGATTCGTGAATGAGGTTAAAGGAGCGACTACGGCGTCTCCTTTCGAGAAATCACGCCTAGTAATTCAAGCGTACTCGGACGAAGGAAAAACGGCAATCCTTACACAATCACCTACGGTCTAAAAGGCCAGCCAACGATTACTCATAGCGCTAGCACCAGTTTTGCTACCATTCGGAATCCGAGCCTACCTTCGTGACATCACACAAGCCTATACTCAATCAACTCACCTTTTAAATCGCTTAGTTCTAGCTCACTTACCGAAAGAGCTGAGAGACAAATACCCTTCCGGAACGATTATGGTGATCTGGAGAGCGCTATACGGGGTGCCTGAAGCTGGAACACATTGGTAGGCGACGTACTACGCTTATCACAAGGAAAGATTAAGCATAGTTACTAGCACTTTTGATCCTTGCCTTTTGCTTTCTACTTCAAGAAGGGACGATTTCGCGATTATCGGGCTCCAAACCGATGACACCTTCATCTTGGCCACAGATACTTTTGCCGCTAAAGAAGAGGACGAGTTGACCAAGGCAAAACTGGACTCTAAGTCAAGGGATAAGCTCTTAACGACCAAAGAACTCGCCTTCAATGGGGGAGTGTTAAGACAACACGCGTCCGACAACTCGATGTCCCTCTTGCAGAAAGGGCAAGGGCTGAAGCTCAAACTGGTCGGGAATAGCCTTAACTTTAAGGTAGAATACTTAGAGCAACGTGCCCGGGCTGCATATATTGCATCAGTATGCCAACCAAAAGCTTGTTTCGACCTCTCTACTGCTGCCCAACATCAGGAACCTTCTTTAGCAGACATCAAAAACCTGAATAAGCGAATCCAGTGGATGATTGACAATATGGATCGAGGCATTCGGTATATCTTTATTCCTTTAGGAAAAGCTAAGCTATTCGTGTTCGTCGATGGCTCTTTTGCAAACAACAAAGATTTGAGCTCTTAGATTGGATACACGATTATCTTAGCTACTAAGCAAGACACAGGGACCAATGAGATCGAATTGCAAGGCAACCTCGTCCACTACTCTTCGGTGAAGTGCTCCCGAGTCACCAAGAGCGTATTAGCTTCCGAGGTATATGGTATGGTAGCTGGAGTAGATATTGCAATTGCAATAGGTACTACGCTTGCAATGGTCACTAAACAACTTGGCCTACCTACCATCCTAGTAATCATCCTTACTGATTCTTACTCTCTTTATAAGTGCTTAGTGAAGCTTGGCACTACGAAAGAAAAGCGTCTTATGATCGACATCATGGCGCTCAGGCAATCTTACGAGAGAAGGGAGCTTACTAAGGTTCGATGGATTGCTAGGGAGCACAACACCGCCGATGCAATGACAAAGGGGACACCCAATAAGGCGCTAGAAACCTTTTTGGATACGAACAAGCTGAAGGTTAAATTGGAAGGTTGGGTTGAAAGAGAAAGCTGAGAAAGATTGTTTTCGGTGCTTCCTATTAAAGGAGCTACCTCAGCGTACGGAGTTTTTGAATTTTTCCCCCACTTTCATTTTACTTACCTTGCTACTAGCAAGAAAGAAAGACTGCGAGTGTTGGAACTAGCATTCAGCTTGGTTGACTACATTCAAATGAGTCAACTCAGTCAAACAAGTCAAGTCACGTGGATACCCGTTTGTACCTTCCGTTTGCATCGGTAGCTATAAGAAGCTACCACCTTACGTACTTAGGAATACATGCAATACCAACTGAACACACTCACACCTTGAATACGTATTCAACCTTGCATCACACCTGTGATACCAACAGAATCATATGCCAATCTTTTGTAATTGCAGTTCCGATTATGCATATAAAAGAATAGCGCTTAATGCTAGACCAACAGTCTAATGAAATGCTAAGTTTTTGATTAGCTAGTAAATTGTTTAATAGATAACGATCAATTTCCAGAATCCTATCGTCAAGGTCTCGCTTAATAGTTGAAGCACTAAAGAGCTTAAGATATAGGTTTTGTAATTCGCAAAGAGATTTCCAATCCGGATTATTAACTATTCGAAACGAGCTTCGCGTAAATAATATAACATTTAAAACACCTTTTCGAAATGCTGATTTTAAGTCTTGATGCGAAAGCGTTCTTCGTAATAAATGTGTCTATTAGATATTAGTTTTATTATTTATTAATTAGATTTACTAATCCGATTTACTAATCAGATTTACTAATCAAATTTACTAATCAGATTTACTAATCAAATTTACTAATCCGATTTACTAATCAGATTTACTAATCAGATTTATTAGATTTATTAACCGAATTTATAAATAAAAACAAACGTACTAAATTGCGTTAAAGAGATTTAGATCTTAATTGAGTTTGCCGAAGCTTTTGTTTTAGCCCACTTACGACGCGTTTACAAACATCCGTTTTCTAATAATCGACTAATGCTTTCGTTCTAAAAGCCTTTAGCTTCGGATGCTTTAAAGCTCGATCGCACTTTTTACAGCATACTACAGGCTCTCTTATTGATTTCTTAGCTGCTTAAACGAATCTAATCCATACAAAAGAAGTTTTCTTTCTATTCCAATCGATTCGCAAAAGATTTTGATTAGCCTCTTGTTATTGAGAATACTATAAGGTCTGTGACCACCAAGTATTAAAAGTCTCAATCTCTTTGACGTTCCAAATATAATATTAATTAAAACATCCAATAGTTGCTGATAGTACTAAGCCAAAGAAACTAATTGTAAAGCTTTCGAACTCTTAATTTTGAAATGGATCGGTATCTTCGTAAGTAGTTAAAGTAATTTAAAATGAAAACGAATCAGTAGCTTAAGAAAACATGTTTAAATTCTAGCGAATTTGCTATTAAACTATTGATTTGAACTTATATATCAACGTCTTATATACTTGAATATTGTATAACATTATTTTATGATTTAAATATATTTTATTAAATTAGTTTATTTTTAAAAAAGGTTTTGCTTACGCTTAATTCTTTTT